TGGTTCTACCAGAGTATTCTCTATCATCACCAAATGTGAGAATCCAAATTCAGGGCATCCCATGCTTGGACAAATAATGGCTTTTTTTTTTTTTTTTTTTTTTTTTTTTTTACAGAATAGATTTGAACTTTCAGGTGTCTTCTACCAAATAGGAATCATATGGCTTAGAATTGGGATGTGCTGTAAGATTTGAGTACTGATGCCAGATGCAAAAAGTATGGAAGAGAAGTTTGCTTTGTATTGTCTCGGGCACTGCACATTTTGACGAGCGGCAAAGGATGCAAAAATAACTTTGTGGCTTAGAGCCTCGCATTTGTGGAGCCACGGTCTTCCCTGAATAGAATGGATTTAGGCTTCTTCTGTATCTGACTTGCCTCTGGCTTGAAATAGGTCATCATCTTTATTGCATTGCAAGGGAGTGCTTATTTGCAAAATTAATGCACAATTATCCGCAATCGGCAGATTCAAGTTGATATATTCCAGTATATCTGGAATATTTCCAGTCGTCTGGCTGCCTGTGTCTGTTAGCCTGCGTCAGCTTCCTTGTGTCAGCAGCACTAAAAGGAGAATCAAATCTAATCTCTTGTGATAGAGAATAACCTTAACCTAATGCTACCAGATAGGACAGAAACATTTATTTGATGCTTTTTTTGGAAAAATGATAAGGTTATCCATGCTGTAAAGGATTCATTACTTTTTCATGGAACTACAATGAAACAAAGTGTCTCACGTCCCTGTGCCGTTTCCCATGGAAAGGGACCATTCTTGCGTGTGGGCAGTACTAGATGCACTGCAGATTTCCTTCAGAATGCATTAAGATTTGTAGGAACTGTCTCTTAGGCTGGCATCGATTTTTGTGTTTCTGTGAGATACTTGGCAGTCGTGGGTTTATGGTTTCCTACAGGTGTGGAGCTTCATAAATGCAGTGGAGCACCCGTAAGAGTAAGAAAAAACAGGTCTGTTCTTTCTTAATAACCATCAGGCTTCTGCAGTTTTCTTTTACTTCTAAAGAAAGTGTGAATAAAGAGTGGATAAAGGGATTACTTTAATCTTTAAAAACTTGGTTTTATTCTGTTGTGTAGGAACAAGCTCTTTGGTCCAGAACTGATTGATAAAAGGATTCCATGTGTCATTTTTTGCTGTCTGTTGTTAGGTAGTTCTTTGCTGCTTTCCTGGAATGTATGTGCTTATGGGGAATGAGACACCTGCTAGGCAATTTTTGTACATTTAGATTTTATCTGGACAGTTTGAAGAAACCTATATGTGTGTGAATGCTGCTGAATTCCAGAGATGTCATTCTTAAGAACCTAGTGTTTCAGGGTTTTTTCCACAGCAGAGATAGGGATATATCTTGGCTCGAGGTTGGTAAGGCTGGGCTGTGCACATGATGCAAACTTAGCTGAGTTGTCTGAACAAGCAAGTCTGCGAGGAGGAAAGACAGGCTGAAGTTGCTGGCTCTGCTGGCTGTGTCAGTGCAAAAGGTGTGGTGTAGATTTTGTGAGGCAGAAGCTGCGTGTACTGTGGTGGGCAGAGACAGACTTCTTCGAGTCAGGAGAGGTCACTTGTTCTGAGTTCTAGTTAGGAAAAGACTTGAGTTCCTTCAATTGAGTTGAAGTAGCCATAGATCCTGCATAGTAGGATGCAATATACCTGCACACGGGTTGATTCTCAAGGAGCTAGCTGCTTAAGGGTTGCTCTGGTTCACAAAAAACCTATGACTAAACTTATTCCCTGATGTAGAAAGCCAGAAGGTAAGTTCTCTTTAAGTAAAGTTAAGTAAGGGTTGCCACTTAAAAGGGAATTGTGAAGCTTGGAAATTTTGTCATGGCATATGTGTTCTTGTGCATACTTGGTTAGGAGTAGAATATGCTAGTCACTACTAGATTTGTGAAAGTTTTCTCATCTTGTCAGAAGACTTTTGATGAATATGGGACACAAAATAGCTTTTCCATTTCTGTGTGCAACAAGTAATTATTTGTTGCTATGGTTGACTTTGATAAATTTCCTTCTGCCTTCAGTGTACTTTTAACTGTGTGAGAAGCCTTTCTAAGATTATAGAAATGTAAAGTTTGCCTGTAAGATTCACTTGTGGAAAGGCTCTTGGTTTACTGCACAGATGTATAGTAGGTAATTCAGGGAAATGTTTTTGGTTCCTCTGAGAAATTTTGTCTTCCATTAGACTTCAATTTCAGGTTCTTCAGGTGAAGATATTTTTACTGTAGCCTGGCAGCTGACAGTAAGCTTAAGGGGTTTTTCTTCAATCGTAGAATTACAGATTGGTTTGGGTTGGAAGGGACCTTGAAGATCATCTAGTTCCACCCTCCCAGGCATGGGCAGGGACACCTTCCACTAGACCATGTTGCTCAAAGCCTTGAACACTGTCAGGGATGGGGCAGCCACAACCTCGTGGGGCGACCTAAAATAGTCACTCAGTGTTTGCACTTGTCATGGTATGAACTTCGGAGGAAGATGTCTGCCCTTGTTAAATGCTGTTTGATCTCTTGCCAGCATCTCCTAAATAACTTGCTTCCATTGTGCATGTTGGTGTTGCTCAGTTATATTTGTTGTTTGGTATCTTCACTGTAAGAGAAGAGGGGAGCAAGGTTGTGGTTATGGACACAAAATAGAAAATAACATACAAGGAAGGAAGTTACTCATTATCAATCTTAAAAGTATTCGGAAACTCATTTGGCAGGGGCTCATTCTGCTTGGCACTAGTGAGGCCTCACCCCAAGTGCTGTGTCCAGTTTGGGACACTTCCCAATACAAGAGAGACATAAAAGGGAGTCCAGTGAAGAGCCATGAAGATGATTAAGGGCTGGTGAATGGAAAATGGAGCCAGGCTGTCTTCAGCAGTGCCCAGTGACAGGGCCAGGGGCAGTGGACACAAACAGAAACGGGAGGTTCCTTCTGAACATCAGGAGACGTTTTATTGTGAGCTTAACTGAACACTGGCACAGGTTGCTCATGTAGGCTGTGGAGCCTCCATCCTTGGAGATATTCAAAAACCGTCTGGACATGGTCCTGGGCAGCCTGTTTGAGGAGGGGTTTGGACCAGATGATCTCCAGAGTTCCCTTCCAACCTCAATCCTTCTGCAATTCTGTATTACTTTGTCAGTGAAGAATGTTCCCTCCTCACCCTCCCCATTGCCAGGTGTTTAAGTGGAGTAAGTTGTTGATGTGATACAGCAGATGTTGAGGAAAACCTTTGCTGGGTAAAATTGCCAGAGTGACCAAATAAAAGAAGTTTCACTAAGTACTAATAAACCTGTTTCTGAAGATAATCTTGAGACGATTCCTAAGATTGCCAGGAATTTTCAGTGTACACACCCAGGTTAACAGCATATTGCCAGTTACATGGGAAGTAAACATCCTAATATATTGACACCCTTATATTGAACAGGTTAATTGAGATGGTGTTGATTCAAGCTTGTTCTTTTCACCAAGCATGCAACTAACCCTTGCCATCTTGGGAAAAACTAGCAAAACACAGAAATGCTTCTTTTTGCTGCTGGTTGGCAGTCTCAGCTTCAACATGATAAATTGATTGCAAGTTGAGAAGCAGGTTGACTTCCACAGTTGCCTCAAGAGAATTTGTGTACAGAATACTTGAGTAGCGCACTCTTTGGTGTCCCCCCATACTCCTCACTCTTTATAGTTTGGTTTGCTTGTTCCTGAGCAAACTATTTTTGCTCAACTGCAGCTTCTTGATGAAATCATTGTTCTGGTAGCTGTTCTAAAAATTGGTCTAGAAGTGAATCAATCATTAGTTTCCTTCAGGAAATTGCTGCAGATAACTGATATATAGAATTAGGATGGGGAAATAAGGTGGTGTGCAAAATGCAGTTTCAGTATTTTAGAGGGTGTTTATTCATGAACTTCTAAATTTAAGTAATAAAACTTGTTTTGATCCAACTTGAATTACATCTTCTTGGTGGTGCCTACTTCAGAAAATGAAGTTATTTGCTTTTTATTTTTTTTTTAAGAGGTAGGTTGTCACAGTTTGTACATCCAGACCTGGTCTTGAGGCTGTATATATTTTAATCCGGGAAGTAGAAAAGAGTTAAACTGAAAAAGGCAATGGGAGTCTTTGAACTACCTTTGGAAGAAGTACTGTTTATATAGCCTTCATTTCTTCCATCCTGGATCTAAAAACTGATAGAATAATTTTTTCTGGTAGGTAGTCTAAAAACAGTACAGATGAAGAGTGATTCTCCTTTCTTCCTCCCTTGTGCTCAGCTATAAATTTCTGAATTTGCTTGGACTCAAGTAACTTCTTACATCAGTATAGCATTATTGCTTTAGAGGTTTGGGTTTGTGCTTTGCTGCTTTTTTAGATATAAATTTGAATTCATACTGCTGTTCACCTACAGTAGTCTCCAGGTCCTGAAGTTAACTCTTTCAGGTTGTGCAGAATCAGTAGCGACATAAGTTGCTTCACAGTACAACGCCCTAAGTTGTCGCTGTGCACTAGAGGTAAATGTGTTTTCCAGGTTGTGTCCAAGGTCTGTAACTTGCAGGGTAGACTGAGTACAGAAGTCAAGGTGTAAAAGGTACTCTTTAAGATCAAAACATCCTATTCCCATGTAAATAGAACACTAGGTCTAGGTTTTGTGAGTGTTGTTTATACATATTATTGAGGTTTGATAGAAAAACTCCTTTGCTAAACTTTGTGGTACTGTAGAAATTGGATTGCAAAGTCTTGCAAGGAAAATACCTAATATGATCTTGATAAACAAGAGAAATAAACCATTCTTAGAAGTTGTTTATTCAATGAGGTCCTGAGTTTTAAAACCAAATTTGATTTTTCTCTGTTTATCTCAGAAGCACGCTATTACTGACACTGGATGAACAGGATAGCCTTTTGCACTCCTTTATTGATAACTAAAATTTTTATTATGGACTTATAAATATCAAGAAAATGTTTTGGGGGTTGTTTGTTTTAGGACAGATTCTGCAGGGTCCTTTCGATGATTAAAAAACTTAATTTTCTATTTTAGGTGTGGAATATCAAACAGATGATTAAATTGACTCAAGAACATATAGAGGCACTGCTAGACAAATTTGGAGGAGAGCATAACCCACCATCGATATATTTAGAGGTAAGTTTATGTGGCTCAATGAATGGTATGTTACCTTAATCTTATATGAAGCATCTTATGTTAAAACTGAGAATACCTGTAGTAAAAGAGAATATTTTCCTTGTGTATTACAAACTTAACTCTTTTCTTGGAGATAGAGAGGAACTGTATGGGATTCCTGATACACATCAGTAGGGGAAGATCAGTGATGTGGTCTAATAATTATATTGGTGCAACTAAAATATAAAGCATCCTTTTTAGGGGCCAGGGAGGAGAAGATTGTGTGTGTATAATAAAGTCATGCTCTGTTAAAAGCAAATATATACACATACACATGAAAACATTTCGTAAGAGTAACTTTGCCTTTAAAGCAGTTGACTTCACTTTTTTCCCTTTGAAAAATGATCATGTATAATCCAAAAATTTCTGTTACTAGAAGGGAACTTCTTAAATACGTAAAATTGTGTGTGGAGTAATATTTTTAAGCCATGTTGAATTTGTAAGCTAACTACAAATTAAATGTCTGTATTCTTTCATCATTCTAGATGCATAAGTTGTGTTGATGTAGGGCCATTAAGAGCTTAAAGAACTGTATGCAAAAGTTACCTCTGTTAGGAATTGAATGGACATCACTTCCTTCAAACCTACCCTTTTATTACTTCTCTCAAGTATTGGAATAACTGAAGGTCAACCAGATTTCTTTTGTAGTCTTTGTAATTGCTGCCTAAAGGTACTGGGTAATTAAAAATAAAGATCTCATTATTTGAGGTACTTCTAGCTTTTATCTTAATATGTCAGAGCAGGGCACTAGCTTGATTGTACAAATGTTGACATTACGTCCTTAACAGTTAAGGTCAAGTGAGGCCCTCCCCAGTTGCTTTACTTACTGCTAATGTGAAATGGGAGTATTGAATCACTGCTAATCACTATTTTAACCACTCAGTGCTACATATAAGCACACCTCTGTTTTCACATGAACCAGTTCGTTCCATATGTCTGGATTTATTATTGCCATGTATGTGGGATTCATAAGATCGTGTATCAAATTGCAGTAATAGTGAGCTTTAGTCTGTAGTAAGTCTGGACTACAGGTAGTGAAATTGTCGGTTCGTTGCAGCCATTTGTCACTTGCTTGTGTCTAAATTAAAACTGAGATTCAACACTGGAAGCTCTATGATGGCTTTGTAGGTCACTGATAGGGGAGAGAGCATTTGCAGTCATAAATATGTACTGGGAGATGATTACGGCAGCATAAATGGTATGGTAAGTCTGAAAATAGTTGGTGACCATAAACCATGAAGCTTAAAGTAGATTTGCAAGTTCAATGGATCCATGTGCCACTGGTCTGAAACTGCAACTCTGGCTCATCAGCGTGGTAGGGAAGCCCTGTGAGGTAGAGCAGGATGTTCCTCTGCTGCAGTGAGTTCTACTGGATCGTGGAGCAGGTCTTGTGACAAGTGGTGCTGGTACTGAGTAGGGAACCATGGGGAGGAAGGTGAAAGTGGTTGACATTCTGCTTTTTCAGTTGAGTTATCCCATGAGACAGTGAGTCCTGTGAAAAGAGCCCATCATAGTTGAAATGAAAAGCCTTGTTCTTACCAGCTCTTTGGTGTGAGGCCCCTCTACTTCCTCTGTTCAGGTGCCTGCAGTACTGGCAGTGACTAAGCCAGTAAGGAAATCACTAAGGAAAGGAAAATTTTCTAGTTTTGTTGGATTAGTTTGCCATCCAGTTAGTAGATTGAACTTGATGATGAAGTCCAGTGAGCTGCAAAGCTGCACTTGAGGTTAGGGAAGGGAAAGAACTTGCAGCTTTTAGCCAAGTGTGAGAGAGGAGTGGAACTTCTATTTGGATGATCATTAGCATAGATTAGATCATCCTTAGATGGATTTATTAAAGTGAACAGGATTAAATGCTGCAGACCTGTAATTTGTTTAGTGTGTAGATTTCCTGTGGTAGAACTAGTGTGAAAGAAAGAAAGAAAGAAAAAGAAGTAGATTACTGAGTGCCAGATACAGTCAGAAGCAAGATTACTCTATACTCTTTTCATTTCATCCCAGCAACAGTTGTCTAATGTGTCCTTTCTGTGCCTTTTCCACCTTTTTGGCTGCTTCTGCCTTGGTCAAGACAGGGGTTGCTTTCTATTATCAGCATTTCCTTTGCAGCAGTTTATCTGAATCTAACCTGTCACTGCTACAGCTAATGTTTTGACTTAGTGTGTTCCTTCACCTGTCAGAAAAACTCTGGTTGCAGCATAGAGGGACAAAGCTGTATGTAAAAAGCTCTGATTGTAGTGTGATTATGTGTGAAAGAATATGTTTATGTTTGCCCCTAGGAAATGCAGAACTAAGGAAATATGAAGAAAAAGAACAGGAGAGTGTGTAGAATACACATACAAAGTTTAAGTGGTTCAGTAGATAACTTGTCTATCTCACATCTGTTAGAAATAGCAAACTTCTCATGTACAGAGCTACTGTGAGATATCAGGCCTGTGACTTCTATGGAGGAGCCTCTTTCCCCTTAAGCTTTTATGTCTAGTCTGTGTCTAGGTCTTGGTGCTGTGGTCTGTGTGCTCTCACCAAAGTCCTTAAACAGGAAGGTAACGTTTAAAGTCTAGGGGAGGTGCTTATGCTCTGCCCATCCTCATCTGGTCTCTGTATTTTTATTGTTTTGCCAGACTTGTTTCTGGCTGTAATGTGTGCCCTGCTTTTACCCAGAACCTGTATGGCTAATTTTGCTGGTGTGTAACTTGAACTGCATCACCCTTCCCTTTGTTTCCTCAGATTCATAGAATGGTTTGGATTGGAAGGGACCTTTAAAGGTCATCCAGTCCAAATCCCCCTGCAATGAGCAGGAACATCTTCAACTAGATCAGGTTGCTCAGAGTCCCATCCATCCTGGCCTTGAATGTTTCCGAGGATGGGGCATCCACCACCTCTCTGGGCAACCTGTGCCAGTGTTTTACCACCCTCATTGTAAGAGTTTTCTTCCTTTTGTCTAGTCTGAAACTACCCTCTTTTAGTTTAAAACCATCACCTCTTGTCCTGTTGCAACAGGCCCTGCTAAAAAGTCTGTCCCCCTCTTTCGTATAGAGTCCCTTTAAGTATCGAAAGGTCCTTTAATTATTAATTAAGTCTTGGTGGAGGGTTTTCTCCTCCAGGCGGAACAGCCCTAGCTCTCTCAGCCTTTCTTCACAGGAGAGGTGCTTCAGCCCTCTGATCATCTTCGTGGCCCTCCTCTGGACCTGCTCCCACAGGCTGTGTCCCTGTGTTGGGCCCCCAGAGCTGGATGCAGCACTTCAGGTGGGATCTCACAAGAGCAGAGTAGAAGGGCAGAATCACCTCCCTCGACCTGCTTCTTTTCGTGCAGCCCAGGTTGGCTTTCTGGGCCATGAGTGCACTTTGCCAGCTCATGTCCAACTTGTCATCCACCAGTACCTATGCTGCAGGATTGCTCTCAATCTCTTCATCCTCCATCATCCTGTATTGATATTGATTTTAAAAAGTCCTTCTGCTGCTCTGATCTCTCTGCGTCTCCCATAACGTGTGAGCAACTCTTAAGGACTTGTGTAAATTGTGACAGTTGATCATCTCTTGAATGCTATCAGCAAGCATATTGTCGTCTTCTTTTGGCAAAAATTGGAATTAGCCAAAGCTAATTGCTAGGTACATACCTGCAGATGAACACTTTTGCTTTCATCCATGCTGCCTTTCACTGTTGCAAACTTCTAGTTTTATTGTAATGCTTTCTGCAAAACCGTGGGGTTTTGTGTGCTTGTGACAAGTTTGACAGCTATCCATCCATCTTCTAGTGCATGGAGTTTCAGTACCAGAGGGTTTGTTTGGTTCTTTTGTACTCCTGTCTGGCTTTTACATTCTTCATTTCTTACACATCTAAGTGCTCATGTTCAGAGAACTTGCAGCACCCCGTACACTGGCTCCTGACCCCGTGTTGGAGCTGCCTCTCTAGGCCTGTCAAGTAAAGTTATGGTTCAACCTGGCAACAAAATTGCTTTTCAATTAAAAGTGAAAGGAAGGGGCGGGGGGAACAGAAGCTCATGGGAGAGCTGAAGAATTCAACAAGAAAATAGTTCTGAAAATTGAGCATTGAAAGGGTATAGTAAAATTATTTGTGCATGGAATATAACACATACACCTCATTTAAAAATAAAAAGGAATTTATGCCTTAGTTACAGTTGCTCAAGAAATAGAAGCTTTTGTTTCTGTGCTCATCTTAGAGCGAAAAGACAAAATTCTTTTTTCCCCCAGATCTTTTTTTTTTAAATTCAGGAGAGGGTGTCAATGCATTTTACATCAAAAGAACTTTAAAACTGACAGCTGTTGTTGCAGCCATCATTTCAGGTTTCATCAACTGACTATAAAAGAGGAATGGTTTTATTGAAATATTGAAAGTGATTGACATGTGCTATGTTGAGTTCAACATATATTTAATTATTCCTGCAAGCAGGGGTACTCAGATTCAGGGCTATCTCCCTGCCTTGATCCATCACTCCTCAGTGATGGTCTTAAAAAGGTGACTGTGGAGCAGGGGGAGAGAGCAGAGCCTGCAAGCCTGGGCAGGTGACTGTGTGCAGCTGCCTAGGGGTGGAAAATGTAGTGTGAAGCTGGGGGGCAATGAGTCCCTTGTCTTGGTCCTCCCAGGGCGGGAAAATAGGGGCTGAGGAAAGATAACAAAGCTGAGAGACTTCTGAATGTGTCTGTAAGGTACATGGGTAGGAAACAAAAAGAGCAGAAGAAAGAACATTCGTCATTAACCACACAATTTTCTTCTAATTGTTATAATTACTAATAGGTTTGGCAATCTTGTTGATGTTCTCTAATATGATTGTAAGAAAAACTTTTCTGTTTGTCCTGTCTGGAAGAAATAATAAATCTAGCAAGCAAAGGCTGTATTAAAATCAAAAAATGGCTTGTAGCTAAATTTCTTTCTTGGATAATCCTAGTTCTTAACTGCATGCCCTTGTAAAAAGTTCCCTCTCCAGCTGTCCTGTAGGCTTCCTTTA